AAGTTAGGAATGTGCTAGTGTGAGCCCACCCCACCCAACACACACCTGCAGGTGGCCCCGGTTTGGGATGTCCCCTTTTCACCCTGGCAGACTCAGAATATGGAAAGCCAGGTGACAAGGGGCAAACCCTCCCTGGCAGTTCCCATTTCTCCTCCTGGCCTTATGGGCTTCAGAGAATTCCTCTGATCATGTAGCTGCTCTGTTCTCATCATCTTGTACCGAGGGTGGGGGCTGGGTTGGGAGAGTGAGGGGTGGGGTACGATCCTGGGACCCCCACCAGGTGAGGTATCACTAATCCTGACAGTGCCTGCTCTAGGGAAGTAGCTGCAGCCCAGCCTTCGGGAAACCAGGAAGCTGTGTGTGGGTGAGAGGAAAAGAGAGAGAGAGGCTAGGATTGCTGTGTGGGTGGTATGAAAGAGAAAGAGATGTGGAAAAGAAAGGAGAGAAAGTGGTTTGGTCTGTACGTAGGTGTGTGACGGTGGGTGTGCAAGAGTGGCTAGGTCTGTAGGAGAGAATGTGTGAAAGATTTCAAAGTGTAGGTGTGTAGCAAAAGAAAACGAAGAAAAGAACATGCTTTTCACCTGTATCTATGGGAGGGAATATGTGTGCTTGTGTGAGAAGGTGTGCACATGTCTGCTTATATGTTTTCGGATGGGACTGCAGCTCTGTAAGCAAATCGGAGACATGTTCACATGTGGCAGCTGTGCATGGGTGAGGGGGCCTTCAGGAAGGTGTGTGTACCCTGCATGGATGTGTGTCTGAGGGCCTCCGTGTGTGCAGATGTGTGAGTGCAAATGTGTGATGGTTTGCATGAGAACATGGCGTCTGTACATCATGTGTGAATTCATGTGTTTATGGATGGATATGAAAGCATGTATGGGGGAGGTGTATGTGCTCCTCACCATCACCATCCTGTTACAGTCACTGAGGAGCAGGGGAGTGGAGGGGCAGTGGTAGCAGCTTCCTGCCCAGGCTCCTGCTCTGTTTGCCCTCTCTGTCGCAGCCTGAGGAGCAGGAGCCTTGTTGTGGCCGCAGTGACCACTGTCAGCTGTTAACACGGGCACAGGTTCCTCTGCCTGAACAAGACAGACACGCCCAGTGGCAGGACTCACCTGACAATACAGACCCACACTCCTCCCCACCTCAGAGGCTCAGAAAAGTGTCCACTAGAGTTAGAAATGGCTCCAAATCCACTACACACCTCCAGCCTCCACTAACAAGTGGCCACTGGCAAAGGCGGGGAGGGATCAGCAGTGGGTATCCAGGTTTCCCCCAGAGCATCTGAGTGGGAGGGAATGTGGCTTGGCAGAATCTTCCAACACCTCCCAGATCCTGAACAACCTTTTCCCAGCCCCAGGTGGGTGGAAGAACACAGCCTGCTGCCTCATCACCATGGAGACAGGCAGCAGAGAGGGTGGTTAAAAGCATGGGCCCAGACCTCCTGGGGTTCAAATCTTAGCTCCTCCACCCACAGGCTGTGAGACTTTGACAATTCACTTAAACTCCTTAGGCCTTAGTTTCCTCATCTGTAAAACAGAGGTAAGAAAAGTATGAACTTCACAGGATTGTTTAGAGGATTAAATACTCCATATGACGCATTTAGCACAGTGCCAGGCAGCCGAACTGGGAGGCATAGCGCTTGGTTCCAGCCCTAGCTTTGCCACCAACTTACAGTGTGACTTTGGACAAGTCACTTGCCATCTCTGGCCTTCTGAGTCTCCATCTGCACCACAATCTCAAGAAACCCTGTCAGTTATGACCAGCTGAGACTTTGGAGAGGGCAGCTGTCGCATGGGGCTGCCTTGGTGAGCTGGGGGCTCTAGTGTCGGCTGAGGCCTGATCCTGAGCTCTATACTACCCTTTCCTCCCCAAATCTACTTTCCCAAATTGGCAGTAGCTGATGGCATCTCTCTGTACCCTCTATCCCTCTAGCCTGTGTTGCCCTGCTCAGCTGGTACTGAGGCCTTGGAGAAATGGCATTGGTACCTACTGACCCCAAATAAAGGTATCTGCAGTGCCCAAAGCAGAAGATGTTGTGGCTCCCAGTTTAACCTGCCCCGGAGCCCTCTAGAGAGGCAGGTATAATTGCGGAAAGATGGATGTAATTGTCTGAAGATGCTTATAATCCTTTGGCGGTAATGGGAGGAAGCTTTAAAAGGAAGCCCTAATCCACTAACAACCTGGCAGCCCCACAGCCTTCTTCCCTCCTGATCTCCCGGCAGAGAGAAGGGACTCCAGCCACTCCCCATCCCAAGGGAGCAGAAAGCCAAGTGTGGGCTCTGAGCCAAGACCACCCAGATTTTGACTCTCCTGTAAGACCCAGCTTTCTTCCTGCCTCCATCTCCAAGAAGTCTTCCCCACCCATTCCATTATTCTGAAGTCTTTCCTGACCCCTCTGTCCCTAGAAATACTCTAGGCCAGAACTGGATGATCGACTGGCTGGATGTTAAAGAAAGGAATGAGGCCGTGTGCAGTGGTTCATGCCTGTAATCCCAACACTTGGGAGGCCGAGGCAGGCAGACCACCTGAGGTCAGGAGTTCGAGACCAACCTGGCCAACATGGTAAAACCCCATCTCTGCTACAAACACAAAAATTAGCTGGGTGTGGTGGTGGGAACCTGTAATCCCAGCTACTTGGGAGGCTAAGGCAGGATAATTGCTTGAACCCAGGAGGCAGAGGTTGAAATGAGCTGAGATCATGCCACTGCACTTCAGCCTGGGTGACAGAGCAAGACTCCATCTGAAAGAAAGAAAGAAAGAGAGAGAGAGAGAGAGAAAGAAAGAAAGGAAAGAAAGAAAGAAAGAAAGAAAAGAAAGAGAAAGAAAGGAAAGAAAGAAAGAAAGAAAGAAAGAAAGAAAGAAAGAAAGAAAGAAAGAAAGAGAAAGAAAGAAAGAGAGAGAAATGAATGAACTACACTGTTCCAGGCAAGAACACAATCATAGTCTCAGCTCTGGCACTAGCTGTTTGACCTTGGATAGGGGACTTAAATCTCTGAGCCTCATTTACCTCACCTGTAAAATGGAAAGAATCATACCTGCCTGCCTTAAGAGGCTATAGTACAATAACAAGAATGAGATGCTATCAAATGAACTGGCTCGGTGTGAGTTGCCAACAGAGTTCATTAAAGGTAATGCCTTCTTTTGTCCTCTCCAACCATGGTCTCTTCCATTCCAGGATGTCCGCAGACAACACTTTACTCCTATAATTCCAGAAGAGAGTGGTGGCCAAGAGCACAAGCCCCGTATTCAGAAAACGATGCCTGGATCATGGCTTAGCAGCTTGCTAGTCATGCACCTTGGATAAGTCACATGTATTTCCTGAGCCTCTATCTTCTCATCTGTATAATGAAGATAATAACAGTACGTCTCTCATGGGGATTGCTATGAGGTTAAAGGAAATGAAAAAGATAAAGCCCTTGGTACAGTGGGCTTAGCACATAAAGGCTTCTAATGAATAATAGCAATCCTGTTGTTGAGCTGATGAGGATCATTTCAATTAATTATAAACATTTCTCACATACCTATCTAGATTACTGTAAAATTTCCAAAACACTGCCACAAGTAAGATCATTGCAATCTCCCAACAGCTCTTTGAGGTAGCTAGGACTCATATTTTTATTTTATTTTCACAGATGAGGAAGCTAGAGCTCACCAAGGGGAAGGGATTTGCCAGGGCTTGGCTAGTTGGCAACATTCGGTCTAGAAGAGCATCTGTGTCTCCTGATCTGGGCCTGTGAGAGGGATGGGAGCAGGTCCCAGGAACGTCAGGCTCTAGGAGACTGAATTTGGACTGACTCTGGCGTGAGGGCCTAACCCCAAGTTCAAGACTGCAGTGCCTCCCTGGGGTCCTCCTTCTTCCTGCCCTAACCAGGGAGGAAGGTCCTTTCTTGCTCCTGCCCAGTCCCCCGTGTGACCCCAGCCTGGTGGGGAATAGTGGCCATGCTTGATCAGAGCCTGGAGAGAATTATTTCAGAGAGAAGAGTGGGCGGGAAGGCTGGTGAGATGCCAGCCGGGCGTCAATGACGCCTGCAGAGAAATGAAGTGTTCCTTCAATTTCCTGACGCACAAGCCCTCCCAGGACTGTGTCCCCCGCACGCCTGCACCCCCGGGATTTGCTGGCTGCGGCTCCTGCCTGAGCTGAGCATGGCCCTACTCACATCCTCCCCATCTGGACCCACTTCAGCGTTTCCATGGGCCAACGGTGGAGGTGATTCGGCGTGGGCTTCCCTATCCCGCCCTGCTCTGCAGACGGCAGCCACTGCAGGAAAATTATCATCATTCCTGCCCTTCCTTCCTTCCGTGCCGCTCATTCTGTGGTCTCCCCATACACTGCCGTGGGGTTTCACGGCAGCCTAGGTGCTGTACCATCTGCCCTGTCATCTCTAACAAATGGGAAACCGAGGACTCGGTGAGGAACGTGGGCCTAGCTCAGCCACTAACATGCTGAATGACCTCTAGCTGTTTTTTCCTCACTGTGAGTCTCAATTTCCCCACCTGGAAAATCAGGAAGTCAAATTCTATCAAAGGCTTCAGTCTCGACCTCCCAAGTTCCATGAGGTCAGCAACCATGTCTGTTTTGTCCAGTGCTGCGTCCCCAGCAGCCCCATGTAGCCAGCACTCCATACATTTAATGAGAGGGTCCTGCCCCAATCGGTTGCTTGGGACACCACAGTGATTTGTTGCCACTAATGATTAAAGGGCAGAAGAGAGTGGGAGATGAGCTTTTTTTTTGACCAAGCAAGATAATGTGGGTTTCTCTCACTGCCTTCTCGCGTGCCCTCTTTGGCAGAGAAAGGCGTGGGGTTAGAGGTGGTGCAGCCGGAACCGCACGTAGCTCACAGCCTCTCCTATCTCTCCACAGCTGTTAATCTGGGCATGCCCATGCGGCTGTGATGAATGACTGTGAATCACGGAAAAATACAGCCAGGAGCCCTTGCACTAAGAACCTGAGGGGTCTCCAGTGACTCGGGTAGTACAAGGGAAAAGGAATACAAGCTTACCTGGTTTCTGGGCCGCTCTGGGCCCAGGGCCAGGGTTGGGGCTGACTGTCATCACCTGCCGGACCTTCACTGCATCCCAGTCCTGGCTGGCCCTGCCATCATGCTGGGACGCCGTTTGCTCCTCTCTGGAGCAGCTGGATGGTTGGAGACCCGGGGCTGTGGGCAGCTGTGGTGTCCCCCGTGTGACTCTGCAGGCAGAGTTGTCCTCACTCCTGCTGACCCCGTCATCCTCTCCCTGGTCAGTGGGCCCTGCCTCTCCCTGCAGGCCCTCCTCACCGCTGCTCTCTTCGGCTTCCAGAGCCAGACACCTGTAGCTTCCATCAGGGATCTGGAAGGCGCAGGGGGTCAGCCTCCCTTCGCTGGGCGCAAGGGGAGGAGGTGGGAGGTGAGGCCCCAGCATGGTGCTGCTCCTCCTCCGCGATGCAGGCCCCTGGGCCCGGGCCAGGGACTGGGCTGGGGCCACCTGTGTGAGCCCCGCTGTCTGCTCCTCACGCAGCCTCCTCTGAGTCTCTGCAGCTTTGCCTTCCTCCGCTGATTCACAGAATTGGGGTGAGGTCTGGCTGAGGTGAAAGGTAAGTCCTTCCTGGGCTGGGTGGAGCGGTGGACCTCCAATCCCTCTTCTTAACCCGTCTCTGGTGTGAGGCCCCTTCAGGGCAATCTATCTGCACAGGGAGGAAAGAAGCAGCACATGAGACAGCACGCTGTGTGTTCCAGGCTGCAATTCCGCGACCTGTTCATCTTCAGGGGACCCTGAGAACTGGCTGGCATTTGGGGTTCAGGTTCCACACTTCCGTAGGGAAGTGTTTCAAAAGCTCCAGTCATTTAACATCCGAGATTTTCACCACATCCTCATGCTACCTGAAACTTTATTTAATATTTTTCCTTTAATCAACTTGAAATGACTTCTATTACTTTAGAATTATCTTAAGCAATATTTGCAGAGAAACCACAAGTATATTGTGCTCAGTCATTTTCCCCCTAACGCACATTAAGTAAATATCTAGTTATTTAACAACATGTATCTAGACACCACCTAGAAAGAATTCTCTCATGGCCCACCAAAGGTACCTACACCACAGGAATCACAGGAATGGTGTGACCTAAGATGCAAACTGGGGACGGGCGCCCTCTGAGGAGGTTGTACAACGAGAAAGATGGTGCAGAGACAAAGCAGCTGAAAAAGGCAGGAGAGTGGTCAGGCGCGGTGGCTCATGCCTGTAATCCCAGCAGTTTGGGAGGCTGAGGTGGGTGGATCACCTGAGGTCAAGAGTTCAAGACCAGCCTGGCCAACATGGTGAAACCCCGTCTCTACTAAAAACACAAACATTAGCCGAGTATAGTGGTAGGCACCTGTAATCCCACCTACTTGGGAAGCTGAGGCAGGGGAATTGCCTGAACCCAGAAGGTGAAGGTTGCAATGAGCTGAGATTGCCCTCATTGCGCACCAGCCTGGGCAATAGAACAAAAATTCTGTCAAAAAAAAAAAAAAAAAAAAAAAAAAAAAAAAAAAAAAAAAAGATGCAGTGGTGTGCTTTCAGTGCCCAGGCTTTCAGTTAGAATCCTAGCTCTAGCTCTGCCATTTGTATGACAATCAGCACAAGCCAGCCACAGAACCTCTCTGAACCTCCACTTCCCCATCTGTAAAGTGGGTATTGTAATATTTCTAACTTCCAGTTGCACTGAGAATTCAATGAGAAAATGCATGCAGAGGACTTGGCACAGTTTCTAAGCCATAATTCAATACATGTTGGCTGTTTGTTCATTTCACTAAAATTTCTTTACAATCCTGTTATATTTCAGACATCATAAAAAGTACTGGGGATATAGCGGAGGGATAAAGAAGCCTTAAAATGTGGTGGGGAGAGCTGTGAATGATAGCAAAAGAAACAATAATAATTGTGTGATTATGTATATACATGTTAGGAATGGTGATAATCCAGGCTAGAGGGGATGGAGGCTTTCGGTAAGGGGTGGCAAGGAGGGTGGGGATGGAAGAGATACTTGGGTAGAAGAACTGGCTGGGTTTGAAGGCAGATGGAGAGTGGGTGTGGAGAAGAGGGAGGAGCCCAGGATGCAGCCCAGGTTCCCAGCTCTGGTGACAGCGCTTTTGTTAACAGACATCGGGAATAAATGAGAAGGAGCAGCTGTTTAGCAGAGCGGGGAGATGAGTTAGGTTTTGGATTTCTAGGGGAGATGAGCAGCGGGCGGCTCCACAGAGGGGTCTGGAGAACAGGGGAGAATTCCACGTTGGGAACAAATATCTAGAAATCGTTTGCGGAGGCAAAGGGTGGAAGCCGGTGAGATGCCTCAGGATGGGCAGGTAGTGTGTAGGACAGAGCAGATGGCCAGTTACACTCGGGAGGAAACTCTGGAATCAAGGAATCTTGCTTAAAGACTGGATTCCGCTGCTACTTAGCTGTGTGAAATCAGGCAAGTGTGAACTCTCTTATTCTCACTTATCCTATTGCAAAATGAAGAGCAGCAAGAATCCTGAAAATTGTGAAAGTCTGTGGACATGGGTGACCCGAGGAGCTGGACTGACCTCAGCTGCTGTGGTCACGCCCCCGCCCCCAAGCAAGGATCAGGCACCTCCCACCACAGCAGGCTGGGTCAAGGTCTTGGTTTCTGGCTGGGGCTGTGCCAGGAGAGTCTGGCAAGCAGGCAGAGAGATAAGCGCGTTACCAAGCCCCAGGGCAAATCACAGCCAGCCAGGGGAAAGGCAAACAACTGTCCGAATCAGAAAGATAACCAGACACCTGTTATATTATAGCAGCCTCAGTGACAGGGTAATCAGGAGAAAGAAGCCCACTTTCCGCCCCCAGGAGAAGAACAGAAGCACCTATTCCATCTTGGGTTATTCACCTAGGTTATTGTTACGATTTCTGACATCAACCCTATGAGAGAATTACCTTATTATTATCCCATTTCAGAGGTGAGGAACTTGAGGCTGAGCTAGGTGAAGTAACTTCTTGCCTCAGGCACACAGCTAGTAAGCGGCCAGGCTGGGATTCTAACCTAGCTCTGACACCTTGACCAGGATGGTGGATTCAGAGACATGGAGGAGAGGCTCTAGGCCCTTCACCGGCGGCTGCCAGATTTCTTCCATTTGAGTTTCAAAGAATCTTAGAATTTCACAAAGGCCAACAGCACTCAGAAGAGACAGGACTGGCTGTGTGAACGGGGGCAGGCGCCTTCCACACTCGGGAGTCAGTTTCCCTGAGGGCACCGGGGAGAGACTGAGCCAGATGATGCTGGAGGATCCGTCCAACTCTGGCATTGCAGGATCCCCAGATTCTAAGCACCTGGATACCCCCCTCCATCATCCCCCCAGGGTAGAGCCAGATGGCTGGAGGCAGAAGGAGTGGGTGTGGGGAGGGGGCAGGGCTCCTCTGACTCCCCACAGGGGCCTCGCCTCACTCTATCCCTGCTTCTGTTTTGATGTATTTGACGGTGGCCACGGTTTCCAGGAAAGAAGAGAGAGGCGGAAAAGTTAACTTTCCGCCCACACAAATATTTTTGGCCGGCGTTTTCTTCACGCTGCCAAACCAGGAGGGAGGAGTTGGCAGGAGCACTCCAATTCAAGGTCCCCTCCCAAGGAGGAAGGAGCACTCCCAACCCAGTCGGGGAGCTTGGGCAGGCCATGGGCAGGCCTGACCCTGCAGCACCCACCTCTGCGCAGGGGGCTGTGGGGTTCGCCACCCAAAACAATAATGGCAGCTGCCACTGACTGAGCACCTGTTAGGTCTGAACCCAGCCCTTTACCTGGCACTCCTGCTGTGTGAGTGCAGTCTACAGAGAAGGAAACTGAGGCACGGAGAGGTAAGCATTGTGTCCCAAGTCACACGGGTGGGGCATGGCAAAGCAGGATGTGAATGGAGGCAGTTGAGGTCTGTGCTTGTACCCACTGCTCTCAGCAGCCGCAGACTCCAGGGACCCCCACAGTCCCTAGGATTGCTGGGCTCCACCACAGCTCAGATGGCCAATCCATCCATGAGGACAGATCTCCTCTGTGGGTAGGCAAGGACCTGCCGCAGGCTCCACAGACATGAGAGGGAGTCCTGCGAACCTCTAATTCCATTTCCCCCAGGTTCCTGACCGTCATCTGGATACAGGCTGTAAAATACCTGAGCCTTGGCGGAAAGGGCCGTCAGAGTCCACAGAACCCACTGTCGTCATCTCAGAGAGAACTCTGAACCCAGAGGGGAAGGATTCACCTGCAGTTGTGTGGCAAGCCAGAGACAGGCATGGCACTGGAACCCAGGTGCCCAGATCTTCCAACTCTGGCTCCTTACAGAAGCCCTGCTCCCTCTGAGCGGTCAGCCTCCACTTCTCCCTCCCTTTCGCCTCTGCATGAGTCCAAGCAGAGGCCTGCAGAAGCAGAGGACAGGCTGAGCATCAGGTGCTCCACAGTCTGAGGGCCAGCCAAGACACCCCAGGGCTCCTCCTGTTGGCTTCTGCAATGGCCTCGGGACCCTCACATCCCTTCTGCTGCTGTGTGTGCAGTGGGGGAGGGGCACAGGCTTTGGCATCAGGTCTGGGTTGGAATTCTTACCCAGTGGCTGCCTGACACTGGACATGTCTCTTATCTTTCTAAGCTTCACTTTTCCTGCCTGCAAAACAAGGCTTAAAACAGAATCTACTTTCCAGGATTGTTGTAGACATTAGTAGAGAAAATACAGGCTTATTCCTTTACACTGCTGGGTGCTGCTCACCTGCTGGGCTCTACAGACGCTTGGGGAGCCTGGCAATCGGGGACCCAAGTGCCTGGAGTGCACAGACTGCAGTGATTATAAGGCACAATCCAGGCTCCTCCTGATTCCCCATCATCTGCAGAGTCTCCATGGGTCAAAAGAACCTCCCTTGTGCTGCAGAAGAAGGAAAAGGAAGCCAGGGCTGCTGAGCCTCAGGGCTTAAGCAGGTGCATTGCAGAGGTTAGGGTATGAGGCCCTTGTTCCGACTCTTCCATTGACTCACTGAGTCATGCTGGGGAAATCACAATATCTAATTTTATCGGTGAAAGACTATAGGGTAGAGGGAGAAGCATTCCAGGAAGACTAGACCCTCCTTCCTCCAAAGGCCCTACTGCCCAAGGCTCCCTACCTGACCTCCCCACCCACTGCCCCTTCCTATTTCCATCCTATACAAAGTCTGATCCATTGCCCTGGAGTGCAGCTCTGAATGTGTTGTTCACCTGCTCAAGAGCTTTCCATGGCTCCCTGGTGCTCACAGATAAAGCATCACTGCAGATGCAGACTCAAAGGCAAATCTTATGATTCTTGGCTGAGGGGAATGAGAAAGGGCTTCCTGGGGTAAAGATCATCCATCAAGCCCAAGTGAAGGCAAGAAGGCAGAACTCTGAAGAACCAGGCGGGCTTGGATAGCTGAGTTTAGGACAGGTATGGAAGGGCCGAGAAGGTGGCCAGCTCGTGACAGGCTTTGGCTGCCTAGACTCTCTCCTGCTAGCTGTCGGGGGCAGCCCTTGGAAACTACTCCCACGGCCAGAGCAGAAGGCAGGGGACTAAACAAAGGGCTGGCAGGCAGGGGTCCCAGCAAGAGGAGAATTTTGGGAGCAATTTCTTCAGCGGCTGGCACAAGGCCAGGCACATAAAACAATAGGCCAGGACCAGTGGCTCACGCCTATAATCTCAGCACTTTGGG